GTGGGAAGAAAGAAAAACAAATGCTTCTACATAGTTTGTTTCTGTTGTTCTGCTGGTCTTTATCTTGCTTTGCTTTTCCAATAACTCTACTGTTACATTTTTATTTTTCATTTTAGGCTTCTTTTAGGCTTAATGAAGCCAAAAATTTGAAACCCTTTGTTTGGTCATAAGAAACGCAATAAAAATGTTAAGGTTATTTATGAAAAAAATGAGCAGTTTTTCTACTACCATTATCTTGACAATAAAGAAAATACAAAAGAAAAGTAATATCAAAAAATAAAATAAATATGAAATATCAATATATTTTCATATAAATATGAAAATATAAAATAAAGCTTGGAGAGAGCTGACTCAACTATTGAGAGCACATCAGAGTGCCTGAAAGGGTCCTAAGGCAGAAGATACAAGAATAAAGAGCAAAGAGCAAAGGAAGAAGGTGACACAGCACACGGGCCCTGATCACAGAAACCGGTAAACTTTTTTTTACGGGGAGGATTTATAAACTACAAAGTACACAATGGTGACATTCAGAAATGTTAGTTGTTTTTACCTAAATTTGAGATAAGATCATTTATATTCCCTATAAACAATGCTTTATGAAAATTATATATGTGGATAAACTAGAAGGAGAAAATGAGCTGAAGACCAAAAATAAACAAGTAAACAACAGAAAATGGAAGAAATCTAGTCAAAGTGGTTAAACCACACACAGAAAGGTGGAAAACACACATAGGTTTATATTACTTTTAATTTGGGGATTAAGGAGACAGGAAATTAGCTTTCCTAATTCCTAAAAAGGAAATAAAATACTCCGAAACGAAAATAAAAACAAGTTAAATATGAATTGCGATATTGTTTTTTTCATCTTTTTTAATATTAAAAACTTCTCTCTAAAACTTTTATTAATTATAAAATATATTCCTCTTTCATTTGGTTTTATAAAATTTACTCTGATTTTTCTCTCTTACATGAATAGATTAGAACATTTAATTATGTCCATGACTTTCCTGGCATTTTTATTATTCTGTATCATGACATGTTTCTGATTAATAAATTTCCTTTCCTCTGTGTATAATTTCTCTATGGGATAGATGAAAAGTAATAAAAGGATAATAAAACTTGAATTCCACATTTTTCATTCTATTTCATCCTTTTTTGGAAATCTAGTCTTTATGTATTCAACACAAATGACAATATGAAATATAAAATAATTTAACAGACCACTTAAGCTGTTTTTTAAAACAAATTTTTTATTGCTTAGACTGCAATAATTAGCCCTTGTGTTTTATGTTCAGTTTACTATATTTTTTTCATAATTTCCAATTGTAACATAAAAAAAAAACTTAATGTACTGAGAATACTAAATAAAAAAGAAAACGGAAATAATAAGAAACTTAAGGACTGCCACTTGGAAAATTATAATGTCAAGTTAATTTTACTCTATTTATTCCTGGAAATCATCCCAAAGCTTAGAGAATGAGAAACAATTATGCAAATGTCATATTTATTGAAAATAGAAAACAGTGAAATCCTAAACCTTCAGATCAATGGAATGGTTCCAAAATCAGTGAACATTGGGACGGCCGAGTGGAGCGGTGGTTAAGAATTGGCTTGGGATGCCAGAGGGCCCCAGTTCAGATCCCACATCTGAGGGCCAGTGACACTGCCCTCTACAGCTAAGATGATGAACAACAGCTCAACCTGGAGCTGGGCTGCCGTGAGTCATCAGCAACGGCGTAGGCTGCAGCCCCTGCTGCAGTGGGTTGCCATGGGCTACTATGTGTAGCCAGCAGTCAGCGTGAGCGGCCAGCAACCGCAGTGAGCGGCCGTCCAGAAGCCGGCGACTGATCTGCCTTGCCCGGGAAGAGCACAACAATGGTGCCAACTTGGGCCAGTGAAGCAACATCCTCCACAACTAGACTGAAGAACAAAAGGACAGCAACTTGTCTGTTCCCCTTCCCCTAATTCCCCAGCGCTATTCCCATCCCCCAATTCCCCAATAAAAAATCTTAAAAAAAAAAAAAACAGAATTGGCTTGGGATGCCAGCTCAGAGCAGCAGGACCCCGGTTTGGATCCTACATGAGTCCAGTGACACTGCGCCCTCTACAGCTAAGATGGTGAACAACAGCTCAACCTGGAGCTAGGTTCCTGTCAGTCACTGGCAATGGAGTAGGCTGCAGCCCCTGCTGCAGTGGGCTCAATGTGCTAATGTGAGTGGCTGGCAGCAAGCGTGAGCTGCCGTTCAGCTGCCGTGAGTGGCCGTCCAACAGCTGGTGAGCAACTGCCTCACCCGGGAAGAGCGCAATGACAATACCAACATGGGCCAGTGAAGTGACATCCTCCACAACTAGACTGAAGAACAAAAGGACAGCAACTTGTCTGTTCCCCTTCGCCGATTCCCCAATGCTGTTTCCCTCCCTCAATTCCCCAATAAAATCTTAAAAAACAAAACAAAACAGTGAACATTGAGCAAAAGGGTGTGCAGAAGAAAATAGAGAAATGAAAGCTCAAATAAATAGTTCAGAAACTGCAGATTTCAAAAAGAGCTAACAAACATACTTTCTTCTAAGGTTGGTGGTCATGCCTTATTATACTGTACACATGATTCAACAGTTTCAGGTAGAATCATTTGAGGAAGCAGCTTGGTTCCAGAAAGCAGAGAAAGTGAGGCTAAATGAGGAACTATGCAGAAAATACATATTTGTAGAAAGCAGTCTGTATCTCTGGAAACAGAGAAGTAAAATCTCACTGTGGGGGGAGGGGGAGAAGAGAGATTGAGTGAGAGAGAGAAAGAGAGAGAGAGAGAGAGAGAGAGAGAGAGAGAGAGAGAGAGAGAGACAGAGAGAGAGACAGAGAGAACCTAACAAACAACAAAACCCACATTGCCTATCTCCAGGGGCTAGCCCAAGAACAACTTACTTTGTTCAGTGGTACAAAAGAAAAACTGGACCAGCCCAGGATCTATATAAAGATACTACAAAAGAAAGACATAGAGGGGAAAAAAAAGAGAGAGAGGGGGGCAAAAAATTTGGAGTAAGGTTTCTACTAAATTGCTTTCACACCATGGTAAAGTTAAAAAATTGTAAGTCTTAAAATTGTAAGTCAGGGACTGTCTGTGTCTATATACACATATATAGATGTGAAACTAAGTGTCTAAAAATGCAAAAAAAAAAAAAAGAAGACAAAAAAGAAAAGAAAACCAATGGTATATTGGGAACACACACTAAAAATATGTTCTGTAAAAGAAGTGGAGAATTGTGATCAAACATTTTACCATGAATATTTAAAAAGTAGTAAATAGTAACCACTTCTTTAAAGCAATTATATAGTGCAGAAATGCAAGGTGTCTGGAAGAGGTTAGGAAGACAAGAACAAGAGAACAACTTGCCAAACAGTGTAAGCTCCTGCTGGAAACAAATCTTCACCCCATGGACAGTAGAAGCTTGCGAACGATTGTAGCTCTGGACAGCTGGAGTGCAACCTCTTGAGATACCCCGTTCCAAAACCTCTCAACTAAGCCGCTCCTAGATTCCTCGGACATAGAAACTGATAGAATCAGTGTCTGTTGTTTTAAGTTGCCAAATGTTAGGGTAATTGTTAGGCCACAATTGATAGCTAAAACAAGGCTGGAAAGTATAGAATTTGAAGAGGTTGGAATGCTGGAAAATAGGAGAGGATTTTGTAAGGAAGGTTGTTGATATGTTGTGAATCCCACCATCCCCCACAAGGAAGACTGAGGGATACCACCAACCTCACACACAGTGATAAGAGCTTCCAGCAAACCATTTGAGACTGATGTGTTCTCTGGATTTATAGAACACCGAAACTCGTGCTAGGCCCATGTTTGGAAATGACAAAAGGCAAGAAACTGTGGCTACATTGCTGCGCTGAGGGCAGGATGGCAGTGGCTAACCTGGGAAGGGCTTGTATGTACAGTTAGTTCATCAAGGGCAAAAAACAAAGGGGTGGTTTTACAGATACAAGGGAACCAGGTGGGAGAAAGGCCAGCCAGGAGATCCCTCAAGGTGATTTTGATCGAAAGAGACACATGAGGGAGCCATAGAAACCAAGAGTAAGAACCTGTACAGGCTGGACCACCACTGCGAGTTGCTTAGAGGAGAGGAAGCATTGGCCTCACTCAGGATCTGCAGGTGACACATGCTCAATGAATGAGGGGATCTCCAAAGAGCCCAGAAATATGCTCCATAAAAAAGAGCCAACACCTAGTTTCTGGTATGGCCAATAGAAATGAAGAACCCCACCTCTTCCCTGCGGGAGGGGCAACCATAGCTGGAACACTGGGAGTCGAAGGCAAAATGCAGGTTGGAAAAACCAGAGAAGGAGCTGAGCACAGACCCCTTCCCACCCCAAGCCTGAAGCAGAAGAGAAGTGAGCGAGGGAGAAGGTTTAATATTAATAACCTTCAGAGTTTTGACTATTACATGAAACTTTGATTAATTCATAAAGGAGACCTTATGTCCTGCTCTTTAGCATAGTAGCTATATGATTAAAACTAAATTTGTTACTTGAAATTAGTAAAAATAACAGTATTCATACCACAGTAATAGATATCACACAATTATCAACATGACAAAAGCTCTGTGATACTAACCCAAAACTTCAGGTAGATAATATGAAATCAAGCCTCACCAGAGAAGTAAGAACCAGCTTCCAGAATTAAACTGACATATAGCAGCATAGCATGCCATGTTTGTTCTACTAAGTACAATCTCATATAGGCTGTCCTAAGGAATATCTTTACAAACCATTTTTGAACAACTGATAAGTCTTCATTGGAACATAGCTAAAAAACTAAGAACCCTCATGCATTTTGAGGAAAAGTGCAACATACTGTTAAACAAAGTTGGGTTTCATTTTTCTTTTTTTCTTTTTTTAATCCTAACATCAGGTATTCATTGGTTCAAAAAACTTTCTATTTTTAATTATAAAATAAACAAAAAATAAAAACAAACAGATAAAAAAGATTTGGCAACACTACCTCTGAATACGATGCTCTCAATGACAGAGATGTAGTCTTCAGGTCCCTGCTCAGTGGAGATCTCCCAGCTGCCTCCACGGATATTTAATAATTTGTAGAGCTGGTCAGAACTGTTCACCCCACACAGCAAGGTAACCACACTCTCTGGTGAATGAAGTACCTTTTCCAGAAACTGACATTTCTTTGGAGTTAGGTCTTTAAGCAAGCTATCAGATAATATCAAAAGTTTACATTTGTAAGAGTTTAAACTCAGCCTTTCCAAATCCCGAAGCGAGTAGTTCTCCAAGCGATACAACAGGATTGCTTCACTTTTCACAACATGTAAAAATACTTCCCTCAAGTACAGGGCCCATTCCTCAGCATCTTCTTCATACATCATTACGATGTCTTTTGTGTTTTCTGGGAAAAGAAAAAAATAATATATTTTCTTATATTTGAAATGCTAATAGGAAGCTATATTGTTATTTCTCCAAAGGTGTAATGTACTCCTTAGGGGATATATCCATTTGTTTATAGGAGAGACTAATAATATAATTCATAATATGCCCATCATGTGGGATTAAACTAATCCTTCAGATGCAGCACGGTTCACGCTTTGTGCAAGTCTACACTGTACTCATTGTAAAAATGTGAATCTAGGATGCTCAACAGAAGTAAGCGAGAGGCCTGGTGGTAGAATGGAAAGAATATTCTGTGGGATTAGAGCTGCTGGGCTACCAGGCATGGCTCTGCAATTACCACAATTTTACCTAGATTATGATTTTTAACTCTTTTGAACCATTGTTTCTTGTACTAAATGAAGGTTAAAAAAAAATAAGCCCTATTTCATGAATCAGATTATTCTTAGAAGAAATGAGAGAGTTTACATTAGAGAATTTTAAGATCATTCTTCCAGGTAAAGATGGGTACATAAAGACAGGTTATATAGAAAACCAACAAAATAATGTAAAAAAAGAAAAGAAATTCAATAGCAAAAAATGAAGCAGGTATTATCTCATGTCATAAAATAAAAAGTTCTGATGAAATAAATAGAAAGTTCTGGTGGGGCAGTACTAATCCTAAATTTATTTCTCGCCCTAGAACTAGTATTGATGAAAAAACTCGAGTCACCAAAACCGCCAGGTTTTCTCATGATATGAATATTATCTCTGAGGACAGAGGTTTTCTCCTTCAACTCATTGATTCCTATACAATGCCTAACACAATTTCTTAAAAAAATATTTGACAAATATTTTTAAATATATTTACATATACAGAATGAGAAAAAAATTGGCAGAAAACATCTGGGAATCACACACTGTATGATGAATCATCAGTAGTATAGTTGTTATTCTCTATGTAGTGTCTCACCCAGCCTGAATGCTAAATAAATACTTATTGAACAAACACAAACATGGTGTCATAATTCAGTATTTTTCTGTTTGAGGAACAGTAGAGAAAGGGTTTCTTTATATTTTAAATAGCCAGAGTAACTGCTGTATAGTTATAAAATTATTGCAGTAAAGATAAAACTAATAGTAATTTAAATTATCAAGTGTGTAAAATAAACTAGGACTCTTCATGGTTTACATATGTTATTCACTTACTTCTCAAAATTACCCTATTCAAGTACTAATGTTATTTTCATTTTACAGATAAGAAAATCAAATTGGTATTGGAATTAGGATTTTGACACAGGCACTCTAGACAGTGTAGACCCTACCTACAATTTGTACTTTTTACCTCTAACAGCACAGGACACAATAACATCATTTAAAAGATCAAAATAGATTCTTTGTAGTGATATGAGCTAGATTAATCAATATTAAGCAGCCTATAAATTGATCTCAAGTATGCATATCACATGAAAGCTTACTGGGAAATCTGGTTTCCTCTCAGGGGAAAGAGGAAATAGACGATACAACACCCTCCAAGAGTATGGTTATCTATAAGAATTTATAGAATTTCCTTCTTGACTCTAAAAATTAAGTCAATAAAATTATAACTAAGCTACAAGGGCATATTAAAGAACAGAATGAACACTCCCACATTCTATGGTTTCATATCACACAATAGGAAGACAATGATAGGGAATCAATTCTAGATACAATTATAAGCTATCTTCCAAAACTTCCCAAGAAAAACTAGACAAGGTAGTCTTTTTCAATACTTTATGACCACTTTTTTCTTATGTTCAAATCAAGTTTTCCTTTTAAATTTGCATTTGACTTATACTTCATCAATAATCTCCGTTTGACAGTTTTCAAAAACCTGAAGATGAGCATTAAATGTTATCCCTTCCTTTTTTATAAATTAAATCATTTCAGTCTTTTAATCTTGAATGTTCTCAGTTATTATTTACTAAGACTTTTCATGTACCAGGTACGTTGTTAAGCATCTAACATGCATTACTTCAGTAATATTCATAAAACTGCGTGATGTTGGCCTTATTGTTCTTATTTTACTGATAATCACACTGAGCCTCACTGAGGTTAGGTAACTTGCCAGGGCCATGAAGATGGTAATGGTACTCCTGTTGCCTTCTAATCTTTTTGTATCAAACTGTGTTAAGTCAAAAGACAAAAGTTAATAAAAAGTTTTTTGAGAGCCATGGTTTTCTCTTTCTTATCCTAGAAAATACAAGCTTGCCCTTGTGTAACAGCTGAACTGTAGACCCAACAATAGATCTTTATGAATTGTCAAGAGGAGCCTACTGACCTAGCAATGCACTTCCTTTTATAATCTTGAACTAAATCAAACATAAATCATTATTCTGCCCATGTAAGGGTGGTTATTGTCATTCAGGTTGGCCAATTTTTATAGGCTGTGAAATAAAACAATACATGATGAAACTGAAATAAAGAAACAAAATTTTCATTCTTGGAAAGCTTCATCAAAATAAAGGGAAATTGCTACTGAAGATGCAATTAAGGTCAGCAAGAAATTTACAATGTAAACCCCCAGTCGTCTAGCAACATAAAGTAAATGACAGCATTATACACTGGTAGGAACAAAGTAGAGCTATATTAATTTTTATAAATTTACTATAAAGTGTTCTTTCAGATTCCATTAGATGTCTTATTTATTTATCTTGCAAAATGCTATAATAAATCCTTAAAATTGAAGGTAATTTGTGTCAATAATTGATATCAATGATTGCTTTCATACCAAGAACAGATTTATACTACATATTGCAAAAAGAATCAGACTGATTATAAATCAAAGTCCTTCCTATTACATATTCACAGCTTTGAATGGCAGATTTTCTTCATTTTGAATGATATCCCATCTCTTACCCATGTTTGATTCTGTATAATGAAGAAATATTACATGATGCATCTTTTAAATATTATAATTTTTCTAACTGGTAGCCAAAGTACAAAAGAAAAGAAAACAGAAAACAAAAAAGAAATTATTTGCAGCCATAATGAATTCAGTAGTGATTAACATGAACATTAGTCTTGATATAATCACATATGCAAATGTATCATCACTCTAATTATATAGTGAATGTAACTAAATTGGCCTTATACTGTAACTTTGTATGCTAATTGGTACAACAGGGGAATGAAACTGGGGATTTTCCATAGGATGAAGGTAGTGAAACACACTATAACTTACATTTCTCCTCCAGGGAAGTTAGTTAATTTTACTTATTCATAGTGGTAAAAAGTACCAGGTGTTTTCTATCTATCTATCTATCTATCTATCTATCTATCTATCTATCTATCTATCTATCTATCTATCTATATCTGTGTAGCGAATGCAGCTGATGCACATCCAGTATCTTCCTGGGCCACCAGCTACAGATTGATGGGCAATTGATAAGCACAATGACCACTTGCAACCTTTGCTTTACTGCCTGAGGACTTTCTCTGGAGCTGAGGAATCTGCCTCAGCCTATGTGTCTGCCTGTCAGCTCAGAAATGCTGGGGATTTAGTGCGTGGAAGGCTGTGCGGGGTGGGGGTAGGGGGCCACCGTCAGTCAATGAGAGATGAAAAGCAACATGTAAATCACTCAGCTTCATCATCTTCAGTGGGGCAAGTCTGAGGTTTGTTCTACACTGTGATGAGAGGGTTCCCAGGGTTCCTGAATTATAAGTGCTCATCACATTATTCTGCTTATTAATATACACATTATTGGCTTTTCTCCCTTTTTGTCTTATATTCTCCATTTTCTCACTAGTACTTCATGGGCTAATCTTCTAAATAAATTACCTGCATTCATGTCCATTTCTCAGAGCCTTCTTCAGGGGAAGCCTTCTCTATACACATACATGTTAATTCACTTAGTTCCGCCTTTCAAATATAGGAAGGTACCAACACATTTTAAGATTATGCCTTTCAGCTATGGTGAAGAACGACCAGCAAAAGTTATTTTTATACAAATGTAAAACCTTCCTCTTTCTCATTTCTTTTAAGACACAAACAAATGCTTCTATGCTTCACAGAACAATCTTGGAGGAGGAAAAATTTTTTTTCTTTTCTCTAAAAAAAGCACAGTGTTAATTGTTACCAGATTATTTTGCAAAGACCTGCTACCCCCTCACATATAAATTGCACATGTTCAAATCCCATCTCTCACTTTTTATCAGCAGTACAAATTGTTAATAGTTCATTTAAATTTTTATAAACATAAAATATTCTAGATCTGTGAGAAGGTTTTAAAATGTTTCAAACTTACTTAGTGCAAGTTAGTGGAATGTCCATCTCCTTCCTCTCTTTTATTGCCATTACTCTATAGATTATTGAATCTAGGACAACAGTGACCATAAGACAGGCCATTATTTCATATTCCTCTAAGAAAAGAATACTGTGATCCAATAAACTATATTACACATTTTAAGATGAATTCTAATTTCACAGAAATTGACTAGCTCCTTCCCCCACCCCCCACCCCACTCCCCCAAAAAGAACCATTGTCAGAATCAATTAAATACAGTGGTAGTATCATCTCACACAGTCTCTTAAGTGCTTCTCAGTTCTCTACTTCACACTCAAGAATGATCTCCTTAGGACCTGAGTATTTTCTGTAATCTCTCCAGATTGACTCTTGCCCTACGGATTATATTACCCAAGCTCCCATGCCCATTCCAATGGAAAGCACCATCAGAACATCAGAAGGTGAGAGAAAGAAATGATAGGGTTATTTATTGGCCCTCTCACTCACCACCTCCCTTTCTAGCTTTGACAGTGGCTGCTTTCTTTTGTGGCCCTTCTGTGGCTTTTCTTCCATAGCTCCAGTGTTCAGGCAGCCCTAGCAGCCACCTTTCTTCCCCATCCCTCAGGGAAATACAGAATTCCTACTCACCATTCCTCCTCGGGTCCTTCAGCCCTGAACATTTTACTAAATAACCCCTTTATTCATTTTTTTTTTCAGTTAAAATCCTTGAGGATGGCCATCTGTTTTCGGCTAGGAT